ATGGCACTATCTAGAGCAATAAATACAATAAGCCTTGCAATTCAGAATTATCAATGAAAAGTATGTATTTCAGGATATTTTAAAAGAAAAGTTACATTACTTTCTAAAACATAGTTGCTAGGTCAAACGATTGATTCCCTGTAAACTGCTATGTTAAAGACATTTTAGAAAACATGTTTTTCTTGGGGCACCCAGCTGGCTCAGTCAGTGGAGCATTAGACTCATGATGTCAGGGTTGTGAGTTCAAGCCCCGTGTTGGGCATGGAGCCTACTTAAAAAAAAAGAAAACATGTTTTTCTTGAGAGTACTAAATGCTCTCTTCATTTAACAAGAATATTGTTAGGTAGGATTACATTAGATTTCCAGATTTGATTTTCACAGCTTTGAGAGGTGATAACAATGATAAAAAGGCAGTTAAGGGGTGAACTGTGGTAAATGAATACCATTCCAAAGAGGTAGGTAGGGCAAAACCAAATGCTTTGTAGAAAAAGCAGTCAGATTTTCAAGGGAAATTAATTGTTGCTTCTGCCATGGGAAGTTAAATCTGTATTTACTATGTAAATATAGACTAATAATCTAAATTGCCTTTAGAAATATGTTACTCTTTCACTATCTCCACTCAGTGAATGATACCAGTGTGTCTCTCAGTGAGGGCTTCCTTTTGCTGATTCTTCATCAGACTGGAATTCCTGCTGGGAAATCGGCTGAGATTCAGGAAATGCAGCTCACCACTGAAATACACAAGAAATCAGAGTTTTTCAAAGCTGTAATAAGGTAAGCTTACTAGCATTCCAGTTAGTATTAATTTAAGTATTTCTCTAACCTGTCAACCTACCTATAGCCTCATTTAAAAAAAAAAAAAAGTTGAATTGACATTGAGTTTTACCAGCTTTGAAAATTACTGATTTCTCATGGTGAGATATTTTTACATGGTGAGCTGCATTTTCTAGGCCTTGAAACTAGTAATCACATTGTCGAGATGATGGCCTCTATCTAAACTGTTCTCTGTGTGTATTACGTGCATAACTGTATAAAAAATGCTTGTAAATAAATATACATGATACATATTCATAAATGTATTATGTTCATATCAGCTGTGGGGGGGGAAGAGATGTCTGTCTTAATTTTTACTCTTCTGGACATAGGGTTTTAGACATTGGGGTAAGAGGGGATAGAAGTAGATGGAATTTTTTTTTTTACTTTAAATTTTATTGTTATGTTAATCCCCATACATTACATCATTAGTTTTTGATGTAGTGTTCCATGATTCATTGTTTGTTTGTGCATAACACCCAGTGCTCCACGCAGAACGTGCCCTCTTTAATACCCATCACCGGGCTAACCCATCCTCCCACCCCCCTCCCCTCTAGAACCCTCAGTTTGTTTTTCAGAGTCCATCGTCTCTCATGGTTCGTCTCCCCCTCCGATTAACTCCTCTTCATTCTTCCCCTCCTGCTATCTTCTTCTTTTTTTTTCTTAACATATATTGCATTATTTGTTTCAGAGGTACAGATCTGTGATTCAACAGTCTTGCCCAATTCACCGCACTCACCATAGCACATACCCTCCCCAATGTCCATCACCCAGCCACCCCGTCCCTCCCACCCCCCACCACTCCAGCAACTCTCAGTTTGTTTCCTGAGATTAAGAATTCCTCATATCGGGGCGCCTGGGTGGCTCAGTTGGTTAAGCGACTGCCTTCGGCTCAGGTCATGATCCTGGAGTCCCGGGATCGGGTCCCACATCGGGCTCCCTGCTCAGCGGAGAGTCTGCTTCCCCTCTGACCCTCTTCCCTCTCGTGCTCTCTATCTCTCATTCTCTCTCTCTCAAATAAATAAAATCTTCAAAAAAAAAAAAAGAATTCCTCATATCAGTGAGGTCATATGATACATGTCTTTCTCTGATTGACTTATTTCACTAGAAGTAGATGGAATTTTGAAGCGGAATTATCAGTGTTAAAGAAAGCAGGTATACAGTTTTTGCCTTATGTAAGTATCCAAAGTATTAATCAATTATCTTTCTCTAGGTAGACATGGAAGTGTTAAAATGATTGTGGAGTGGAGAAAGTAAATTATTGAGAAAAAATAAAAGGCATGTAATATTTTTTTTAAAGTTTCTTTCACAGAGGCAGTCAGTTGGTTAGTTTGGAGTATGAAATTATATCATCTGTTACTTGGTTTTCTTCAAAAAGTTTCATGTTTGGCATAGCTGTTTTCCCAGTACTTGGAAGTACTTAAAACTTTTGGGAAATATCTCAATCCTTTCTCTAATTATTACACAAGGTCCATATGTATTAAAGAAATATTAGAGAATACAGGTAAAAATATTTTTTAAAAAAATTACTCATAATTCCACTGCTCAGAGAAAATCACTGTTGAGATTTTGGTATATGTATCTTTCTAGACTTATTTTTTATATAGAAGTATGTGTGTCTGTGTGTGTGTGTATACACGTGTATACTTTGTGTACCAATCAGTTATTTCCTAAAAATAAATTCTTAAAAATGAAATTACTGGGTCAGCTCTTTCTGAATTCTGGGGAGCTATTTCCTCTCGATTTCTCCTGGCCATATCCATCCAAGTTTCCTGAAGCAAGAGTAACCTGGAAAATACTCAGCAGAATGGCTCAGAGATAAAGGAATTCTAACCGTGCTACTACTGCTTGAGATGGAAATAAAAAATCAGACTGACTCCCCCCAAGGTCTCCTAGTGATTTCTAAAATTTATTTCCTTAAAGTATGTATGTATGTATTTATTTTAAAGTAATCTCTAGGCCCAACATGGGGCTTGAACTCGCAACCCCAAGATCAAGAGTCACATGCTGTACTGCCTGAGCCAGCAAGGCACCCCCCATTTCTTCTTTTTTAACATTGCCATCCTGGTGCTAAGGACTGTATCTGTAGAGACAGAAAATGTCAGTTCATCCTCCTTGATCACTGATATGCCCGCCACTTACCACCCAAGCAGGAAAAAGTGATTCCATGCAGGAAGGCAAGTGGCATTCTGAGCTATATAGTGTGAATCTACTTTTTTTTTTTTAAAGATTTTATTTATTTATCTGATAGAGAGAGATAGGGAGAGCAGGAACACAAGCAGGGGGAGTGGGAGAGAGAGAAACAGGCTTTCCACCAAGCAAGGAGCCCAATGTGGGGCTTGATCCCAGGACCCTGGGATCACGACCCAAGCCGAAGGCAGACGTTTAACAACTGAAACACCCAGGTGCCCCGTGAATCTACTTTTTATAATATCTGTGCAGATGGATACTTACATAGTTCCCAGACATTGCCACAGGAGTAATGCTGTCATTAACAGAACAGCAAGGTGTTCAACTCACATAAACACTGCAACTTATCAGAGAATAGGAAGAACTACTGCCTAATGAAGCATTATTTCCAAGAACCTATATTTCTAACAGTGTTACATTCCTGGACACAATTAATTTTGGAATATGTGATATAGTTTATAGCGCTTTAAGAAAGAGAGTTGGGCTTGTCAGAATGACTTGTTCGACATACCCAGAACCACTTGTTTTTCTTTCAACTACAATATTAAAGAGATTCATTGGGAAGTATTCAGATTATAGCTGTGTGACCCCACAATATGAGGGAATGGTTTTACCATTTAGCTGTTTGTCCCTTATCATCAAATATAATGGCTGAGGCTCTACAGTTACTGTCAAGTATATTTAAAATGATGAAAAGGTTGGTTCTAGAGTGGGTGCTAGATAATAATTCCTGAATCTTCTTCCCTTAGAAGTGTCAAAACCGGGCGCCTGGGTGGCTCAGTTGGTTAAGTGACTGCCTTCGGCTCAGGTCATGATCCTGGAGTCCTGGGATCGAGTCCCACATTGGGCTCCCTGCTCAGCAGGAAGTCTGCTTCTCCCTCTGACCCTCTTCTCTCTTGTGCTTTCTATCTCTCAAATAAATAAATAAAATCTTAAAAAAAAAAAAGAAGTGTCAAAACCAATTAGGTCTCCATCTTTCAGTCATAGTTTAGTTGTAGTTCTGCCTTGAGCAAGCGGTGTATTTTTTTTTTTTTTAAGTTTTGTTAAAATGGTTGACTTCAATATCTAAAAAATCAAGATTTATTTTGGTGGGGTAAGATTTTTATACTATATAAAAGATTAAAATATATGTCCAAGAAATGACAGAAATTCCAGGTGGTCTGAATCTGCCTAGACTGCTGGGTGAGCTTTTTAAAAATATACATACATGCCATGATCCTATAGACTTACTGAATCAGAATCTCAAGGGAAGGGCTTAGGCCATATGTTTTGAAGAGCTCCCTAGGTGTTTCTGATGCACACCACTTGCCTAATGGGTACTCATTCATGTGGGTGCATGAGATGCCTAAAACCAGATCTTTGGCCACAGGTCACATTTTGAAGCAGAGTGTGCCTTCCCCACACCTCTCTTACATCCTTATCCCCAAACACTCAGTTCTTAAACTCATTCATAGCTTTATCATCACCACCATCACAGAGTTT